CTTAAAAACCACTTAACAGGTTGATCGCTATGAGGCACACCGGTGAGCCCCACCTCCCCCACCTTTCCTTTGTTTCGCCTCAGACTTCAGCAGTGCGCCTCAGTGCTGCAGAGGTTTTGTGAGGCCGGGGTCCCGGAAAGTGAACTATGTTCTTTGGCTGATCTTTCCCGAATTACATTTACCCTCACAGGGGGTCACGAAAATAAATGTAGGAGGCCTACTGGTGCACGTCTTGGGGCAGGGAAGACAGTTTCTTGGTCAAGAAGGGTTCTGTTACACATAGGCCTAAAAAGAGATCTATTCAATAAATTTTTTTTTTCGTTTTTTCCCTCTCTTTTCTCTCCTGATCCATCCTGACTACTTCGCAATATTGCAAATCGCAGGATATATAATAAACTGTATATGAACAATAAAGCCAACACTAAATTTGCGAAAATACTGCCTACCACACGGAGTGGCGCTACACTATGTCCAAAAAAATATTGGAACCTTATTCAATTTGTAGCTTGTAGTAATTGGTTCAGAGTAACGCTGTGCACCTTTTAGGGCTGACTAAGAAATCAAAGGATCACATGTACGGAAAGTAGTATCAAAATCCATTGATTCACTTCGGAGGTGCAGCAGCTTATTAGGTTATGTAAGGTTGTCTCTCTTTCTATCATAACTTCTTCTGTTGCTTTCTTTCCATAGTTCTGAATCCATTGAAATCTTGTTTTTCCAATGCAAGCACTTTTTTCCAGTTTGTGATTGGCTGCGGGTCCCTCTGTACTCCATCCCCATTGTCGTCATTCGGCATTCCACAGCTCCCTCTGCAATGATATTGTAGTGTGCAGGAGTTATGGTGGCATCTGCAGAAGCGTCGAAAGAAATCATCAGTAATCAGATCCATTATAACGAATGAGACCGGAACCGATCGGTTAAGAAGTTCAAGAGTCGTAAGACGAAAGGGAAAAATACATTCTGATACAAAAGTCACTTGAAATCTTCTATTGATGACGTATATGGCATCATTCAATTCGCTATCTTTTGTACAGTTCAGTGTAACATGCATGTAGGGAAAAATATAATTTTCACACCTTAAAAACCACTTAACAGGCTGACCGCTATGAGGCACACCGGTGAGCCCCACCTCCCCCACCTTTCCTTTGTTGCGCCTCAGACTTTAGCAGTGCGTCTCAGTGCTGCAGAGGTTTTGTGAGGCCGTGGTCCCGGAAAGTGAACTATGTTCGTGGGCACGTCTTGGCGCAGGAAGTCAGTTTCTTGGTCAAGAAGGGTTATTTTACACATAGGCCTAAAAAGAGATCTATTCATTTTGTATTTTCTTCGTTTTTTTCTCTCTCTTGTCTCTCCTGATCTATCATTACAACTTCGCAATATTGCAAATTGCAGGATATACAATAAACTGTATATAAACAATAAAGTCAACACAAAACTTTTAGAAATGCTGCCTACCACATGGAGTGGCGCTACACTAGGTCCAAAAAAATCTTGGAACCTTATTCAATTTGTAGCTTGTCGTAATTGGTTTAGAGTAACGCTGTGCACCTTTTAGGGCTGACTAAGAAATCAAAGGATCACATGTACGCAAAGTAGTATCAAAATCCATTGATTCACTTCGGAGGTGCAGCAGCTAATTAGGTTATGTAAGGTTGTCTCTCTTTCTATCATAACTTCTTCTGTTGCTTTCTTTCCATAGTTCTGAATCCATTGAAAATCCAGTCAAGAAAAGTTATGCTAGTCACGCCCCTTCTCCTGTCATTTCTTCCTATATTTATTTCACCTCATACTTATCTATGGGCGCGGTAGCTCCCATGGTGGGTAGGAATAACGTTGAAAAGAATAGTGCCGAAACAGAATAACATCGACAAAGGTAAGAAGCGACACAAATAACATCGACAGGAAATAAGTCGACACAGAACAACATCCAACTGGAAATGCATCGATACTGAATAAGCTAGATGGTAAGTGCATCTACACGGAGTAGCATCGAACGGGATTACCTCGACAAAATTGCTACTCGGAATAAAACCGACAGAAGTACGCCGACACGGAATTAGTTCGACGGGAGCATATCAGGATTAGAATCGAAAATAAATATTCAAGATAGGAACTACGCCGGCATAGAATAACACCAACTAGCTAGCATAGGTGAATGTGGTGGTGGCGATAGTGTCACGTAGATGTCGTGCATGCTGTGTGCAAAATATGTGTGGGCTAGCTCTGTCAGCTTCTATCAAATGCAAAATGCTGGAAAAGATTTGCCAAAAAGCGACTCCACAAAATTGGAAAGCTGAAGGTGGTGTAGATGCTGACAATATGCGTGGAATAGTGTTAATGAATAGTGTCAGAGAAGTTGTGGGTCTGGGCTGTGCCATAGTCAAACCCAATCTAAGAGCTGGATTTACTGTACCGTTTTATCAAATGTATTTATCCTTCTGTCGATACAATGGACAATCATAATCCCTTCGGAAGGGAAAAGAAGATCCCAATCAAGAGTTGTTGTGGAATCATTGCAATCATTGTTTAAAGATTTTCTCATATGATCCTCTGCAGCGAGCAAGACATTTCAGCTGTTCTCAGGATTGATACGCCCCTTTCTCTGAGATAATTGCAGGCGACCTAACATTCTCATATCAAACTTCCAATGTCACACTTGAGTTAACCCATTTCTATCGGAACGAGTCTAAAGTATAGGTGAACAGCAACATAAACTGACGTAAGCCTACGCACCCAAAAGTTATGCCCGGAGTGGATGCACCATGAAAGCTGAATACTCCCTCAACTCAATAAATGATATCATGTCACTTATACGCGTGCCAAGTTTCACCTTTCCATTCCCATATTCCCACATTTTTCTTTAACTCCTTGTCTCAGTATTCACATTCATGCAAAGTTTCAGCTTTCCACGTTCATCAGTTTAACTGATGAAATTATTTGAAAATATTTCCCTTTGAAATTTGTGCCCCCTGGACATTTACTTCCAAAGTCTGAACTTTCCTGCACGCAGCATACAAATAGGTAGTAATGTATTAATACCAAGTTTCATCTTTCCACACTAGCTCAATACGCCAGGACATTACAATTACTAGAAAACGTCGGTCCCCAAAAAATATACCTCCGGGCATGGATCTAAAATTTTGCAATTTTCCTAAACTCATCGTCTTATTAGGCACGTCCATGCCAGGTTTCAGCTTTCCATGTCTCTCGGTTTTACTCAAGCAAAAATAATGTTATAGAGGGAGAATGAGTAACAGGACATGAAAGGCAAAATAAAGACAAAAAAAGCAATGGGAATTAAACCCGGACTTACTGATTGCCGGTCAGACGTGCTACTACTAAACCACCGAAGCCGGGACATCCGTTCGACCTATGAATCCCATCCTCATACTTCACAATATATATTTGAAAAAAAAAAGTTTCCTCCCAAAATGTGTACCCCCAGGAGATGTACCTCGAAAGTCGGATTTTTTTCTGAACTCTGCATCCCAAAAAGGTATATATAAACCAAGTTTCAGATTTCTAACCTTTCTAAAACATGGTTAGAATTAGCGTCTGTCAGTCAGTCAGTCAGTCAGTAAGTCTCGTCTATATTTATTAGATTATCCTTCCTTTCGGTGAAAGGGAAAGACAAGAAGAGCTGAAAATGAGTATAAACCTAGCTTATGATTTGCTAATTCAAAGGAAATGTTCACTTTGGAGATGTATCCCAGGGGGGTACTATTTTTATGTGGACGTTTTCAAATAAGTTCTGCTTCAGCGAAACGGATTTTTATATATGCCTGGGATAAACGAGTTCAAGGAATTTCTTTATTTAATTGTACACGCCCCCCCCCCCCGGCCCAATATTTTGGTTACTAAAAGTTCTCGACATTTTTTTTTACCGCCATACTAGAGGTTATTAGTTTAGGGGGAAAGATGAGTAAAATCGCGCAATTTTTTGTTTCGCTCAGAGGAAGGTAGTTCTTACAGTCTTGTTATAGAAGGCTCTGTATTGAGGATGAACTCTAAAGTGACAGTTCTGGGGCTATGAAGCATCCCTGTTTGATTCATGTTCCTAACATCAAATTGAAAATCACTTCGCACAAGGACGAGTAGCTTAGACTCAGGATAAAAAATCCTAATGACACAAGGAGTTTTGCTCAATTTGTAGTAATGAGAATCGAAAAGGGATGCTTCGAATGCATTATTATTATTATTAATATTTTATGAAGCTAACGGCACCGAAGGCGCATTCATAGCTTATTTGTTTGCCCGAAGGGCAAAGAAATTCGCCAGTACATAATACATACGAGAAGAATGTGTCTGTGTCAGTATGTCATTCAGGGGAGACTCCTCCTAGACAACGACAGACTTTTATGAGTCAATCGAAACATTATGACCAGGGGCGATACTTTTTTGAAACAAAAGTTTAAAAAATCGTCCCATTTTCGGTAATAAATTCAAATTTCAACAATAAGTCATTATACCGTACGCCTTCCCTGACGAAGTGTTCACATATCATGACAACTCGACCTGAAACTCGATCGCCTATTGGACCGGTCCAAAGGCCGCTTCGTCCTATGAGCTTCGTAAATCGAGGTCTCACACTGCGCATTCAATCGCACCCGACCAGAAACCGTGATTGTCATCACGACGGATGCACGGATTAGGTCGGTCCTATTGAGTCGCTTCACATCTCCGCCAGGATCAAATTCTTCCGGGGCGTTCCTAAATGCGAGAACGACGGATCTCACTTTCAAGCTACGAATCGGAACTCGCTGCGCATTTGCGTACAGGCGATTGGGGTTTCCCTACCGACGATACGCATCCCTTACAATCGATCGAAATCATTTATAGTTGAATTCGAAAGTTTTGTTTCTTTCAGACGGAACTCACCGATTATTGTTAGAAAAGGTCACCGATTATTATTTTAAATTTGGTGTTCTCTGAATGCCCTGAAAAAGAGGGTAAACCTGTTCTGCGGCGGGATCTTCTGAACGTGTGAGGGGGAGAGAACTCTATTGCTCTAGGAAACCAATAAAGCACCATTAAACATGGAATCCCTGAACGATTCCATTGAAGGGCATCGGATTTCATTCGATTGAGTCAGAATATAAAAAAAGGGATGCCCATATGAGGATTTTTGGTGAGTGAAGTGAATTACCTTGGCATCGAACATGCCTGTCGTGAAAGGAGCTGTCCCAGGCGTCATTGATCCGAGAGGAACAGGTGGCATTGTGGATTTCCGATCCGTCATTGAACCTTAAGGACTTAGGGCAGGTATAGATGACGCGGGAACCTTGAGGTGCTGGGTATTTCCCGTCCCATCCGTCGTATGTCACGGTGGCGTTCTCCATGCTGGGGTACTGGGTCACGCACGATTCTGCAAATCACGTCAATTGAATGCAATTCCATTCGGAATACTAATTAAACCTTTCGCCCAAATGAGGGAGCAATCTGGTAATCCCTTTTTTCATGCTACAAGTGCTCCTTTCCCCATTTATCCAGATCACTGAAATCAATCTTTCTTCTTACAAATCAAACGCATGATGATATCTTCATGAAATATCGTAAATGTATTAAATTTAAACATTTTCTTACATTTTGAATTCCTCATGAGAATTATATGTTAAGGTCACAAATCTCTCATGAGTTTCTAATAGAAAAAAAAAGTTGTGAAACTCACGTAACCTCTTTTCAAAATACTGAAATATCCTACGTCTTTGGGGTTTTCGGTACAGGATAAAGTTGCAGGGTAGGGATATGGTGACTGGAAAGTAACCCCTCATGTTCATCGAGTGAAGACTTCTATTCAGATGCAGATTAGCATTGAATCTGAAAAATTATAAGTGTCATAGAATCTCATGTTTAAATATATATGCATGATGTTGCCGGATGACGCGATATGGCGTCACAAGTACATCCGCCATGCATAAAATTACTTTGAAGCCAAGGCTAACTGAAAGCTCAAAATTGAAAGTCTAACGTTAGACTAAAGATTTTGAGGAATTCCTTCCTAAAAAAAAAACATTTACTTCATATGAGGAAAAGTATTCACCAATCCGAATGAATAGCAGTTGTGTGTTGAGAGTCAAGTAAATATTACGATCGACAGAAGCCAGGAACACCCAAATGATTTCCTTTCGTCCCAGTGTTAAAGAAAACACGCAACTAAAATATACTTCATGACTGTCATAAATCCTTAAGCTATAAAATATAAAGTTCAGGAAAATTCTATAAAGATCACGATGTCATATGGCTTCATTGAGCAGAAAAGGGTGAAACAAAAAAATTACCTAAAAAAAGTAAACCTCAACACTAGATGACAGCGCATATTACCTTTGTTTAATCTCTTCCCGTAAAAGAATTTGACCTCCTCGTATTCTTCTCTGAGAGATTCACCGTCAAAATGCTTCTTCCACTCAGTGGAGAAGCTCTCCAGAAAATATGGAGCCCCATTTCTTGGGGTTGTGGAAAAAACTGAATCTGGGGTTTCTGAATATGAGAATTTGGTTCCTTTTTTATATTATTTTTCTACCCCGTGGGTAGCCACTCCTTGGTGGGAAGAGGGGTTTCGAAGAAAAGAGACCGACAAAAAGAAAGACATTGATTGTAGGGGACGAAAATGGCCCTTTTCGTGCTTTGTGGCGCACGATTTCGCCATAGAAAGGAAATGAGCTTTTGTTCATTTAATTTTAGCGCGATCGCTCCGGTCCTCTTCCCCTGTGCTTTCGGATATCGTGCCGAAGTTATCAGATTCATGACTTCATCAGCCTTAGTATCGGCGTCTGGATCTTCTGCTTTATTTGGATTCTGGATATTTTTCTGCTGAGTACATTATGTGAGCTGAAAATGAAACGGGGGTTAGCAAAGGCCAATCGATGTGGTGTATTATGGAGAAATCTCATCTGAACATCCCTGAAGTAACAGAATAGCGGGCATCATGGATTTCATGCTTCATGGAGGCATACTCTCCTCAGATCTAGTAGAGGTTGATCGTGGAACTCCAGATTGGCTTACTATTCTATGTACGCAATGAAATTCAAAACAGGCCTCTAACGTTACAGGTTCTCTGAAATGGTTAGTGAAAGTATGGAAAGACTTGTGATTGGCATAACGATACACGTCCTCATCGAGATGTCTCGAAGATCAGGGATTCACCATATAGGGTTAATTGTCCCGTAGCAATTATGAATCCTATAAAAAAAAAGGATGGTCATTGAGAATTGGTTTACAGATTACTTTATCGCATGTTGTCAGCATCTTAAATGAGACGTTCATTGAATATACATCGATATTACGGTGCTTCTTGCGATGCATACGGACTAATCCCCATATCTCTCCCACAGGGATCTCTTCTCATCCTCATAATCCTTGTGTTCGCTTGCGACGTTATTGCAAGAATCGCGTTTTTTCTCGTCATTTTACTAATACTGCTTGATGATCTAGGCGTGATCATATCTTCACATGTGTCTAACTTGACGAAGTGAAAGGGGTGCTCACGTGGAGGAGGACAGAGATCCTTTTCATTTTCGATGAACGTCGCGCACCAGGTATCAGCTACGGAGGAGGAACATGTGGCCTGGTGGTCCATCCGCCCATCCTTGAACCCCCGCGGGTGCTTGCAAGAGAAGTTCACTATTCCTCCACGCGGGGCTGGATGCTTACCGGTCCAACCATCGAAAGATTCTGCCGCATGCTCGATCTTCGGGTAGTCCGTCAAGCACAGAACTGCAGTATTGACACATTTGTGAGAAACACGTCAACGAACTCCTCCATGACAAGACGTTTGAATTGCATGCAGTGACATTTTGAATAGCATGCAGTGAATAAACTGAAAAGGATTGTATCTATTGGGGTAGATCCTGGTGAGGACTCTTGCCGGAGATTTATGGGTCTCCTGATCGTGTTCACCAAATACAGGGTGACTGGAAAGTTCGGAGACACTCAAAAATACCAATATCCCGATGCCATAAAGAACAATACTTTTTTTCTATAATTTCATTAGAAAAAACATAAGAAAACCTTCAAAATGAGTTGAACATTTTCGAAATAGCCCCCATTGGCAGCAATAACTTTTCAGAGGCGTTTTGGAAAATTGTCCACAGTTTCTCGCAGCTGTTTCATAGGGATTTCGTCCCATGCTTTCAGCAAAGTTGAATTAAGGCTGTCCAAATTTTTCGGCTGAGTAGCACAGACCTTTGCCTCC